CATTGCATAGGAATGAGGGAATCTGGCTCTCGTTTGACGGATGGATGAAAGCGGCGTTGAAGCTGTTGACATCCATAGAGGTATTAGAATGTTTTCTGTTCTGACCACAGAGAAGGCGAATGCCTTGCCATAAGAGCCTGGTGTTCTTCGTTTGCAGAATTTGGGCGGCGAAGATTGAATTGAGGTACGTTATCTTGGACCTGATTAACTCAGAATAGTGCTTTACAAGCGAGGCAAGACGAGATTTGTAGGCCAGTTCTTTGTACCTTCTCAGTGATTTCAAAAAGGGTGAGGTGATTCTACCGTTACAGACAAATAAGGTTTTCACTGGACAGCACAAGTTAAAGATTGATTTAATCGTGTCAGTGAACAGATTGATAGATTTAAAAAGCGAAGGACAAGAACCAGACCAAGACTGAACGATCACAATAGAACGGTTGAGAAGAGAGATACGGTTGGGTGAAAAGTCCCTTAGATAAAACTTTATCTGAGTAGAACGTGTGCATGCTTGATAAGAAATGTGAGAGTATACCTTAGGTCTAACAAGAAGAATACTATGGTCACTGGTAGGAACCGGGGTCATTAGTTTGAGAGGGAATAAATTGGGATGGTTTGTGATCACTCTGTCCAGCACAGAACTGCCTCTGGTGAGAGAATAAGAAAGGTCAGACAAACCAAACAGAAACAAGGGAGAAATGCTTGCATGATTGAAATCACCAACAAGTAGGTGGAGATTTTCATTTAATAATGAAACTAGAAATGGAATGTAGGAATCAAAGAAAGCGGAGATGTCGGTCCGAGTACACGAGGGAGATATATACACATTGGTGATGATTGTACTTTCGTGACGAGAAAATTTAGGGTGACAACGAACAGACAAACAATCAATGCAGTTTTAAGATTAGTTAAATATAACGTCTGACTTGCCACACCAGGAAACATTGATGTAAGTAGCCACACCGCCTCCGCTTTTTTCCTACTTCGCTGTCTATCCTGCCGGTAGCAATCAAACCCTTCCATTCGCACGAGAATGTCTTTGATGTTTTGGTTTAGCCATGTTTCTTGCACACAAACAACACATGTGTTGGAATTGATGCGTGTGTTCAGATTAGAGGTTAAATCCGAGATCTTTGCGAATATTGAGCGAACGTTGGTGCTGACCAATGGTGGCCCAGTCATCTTGGCAGGAAGCCACGGCCAATCGAGCGTTCAGATTTCTTTCGACAGTTTGCTCACAAGATGTGCACCTAATACTGCGAATTGCCTTCAGTACGGCGTCCTTGCTGAAAGGGGAAAGAAAAGTCAAATCACACGAGGGGCTTGAACTCTTGAAGTGACTCTCGGGTCCGAGGCTGGCGCCCAATGGTCCCGGATCCTTGATGGTTTCTTGTCGTCTGTTCTTGGAGAATGCAACTGAAAAATCAGAGAAAACTGGAGGGGCAAAATATCGTCTTGCCCGGGGACTAGCGATGCTAGTTATTCTGGCAACATTATTAATAAATGTAACAATTTGCTATAGTAAATGGGGAAAGGCATAAATAACTAGAAGAGGGCTACAGCAAGTATAAAAGTAACAAAATGTTTTTGTTTTTTTATAAAAAAGTTCTTTTCGAAGGAGGACTCAAGAGGAGGAAACTAAACCTAGATACTTATTAAGTCGAGGCTTGAATGACGCTTTACTTGTTGAAGAGACTGTCTCTTCTGGCAATGCGTTGGGGAGAGACCTTCGGAAAAGGTGAAGAACACGGAAGGCAGATTTGCTGGTTAAGTGGTTATGGTGCGAAAACGAGAGGTTACTATTTAACCAGAAGCCTAGGACTTTGTGCAAGTTGGTATGTTGAAAAGGTTGCGTACCACTTATATGAGACGAGACGGGAGGGGAGTTCCCAAAAGTCATGCCTACACACTTGTCCTCATTGATGGGCAGATTCCATTCAACGGATCAGTGTTAAACAGCATCGATAGATTTCTGTAGCATGCGGGCATTTGTACTCTAGATAGTGATATCATCTGCGTACATAGCTACGTTTTCAGGTAATGCACCAAGTAGATCGTTAATGTAAATAAAGAAGAGAAGAGGACCGAGACCAGATCCCTGAGGGACACCGGTTGTAATAGGGCTATATTCGGATAGTGTACCGTTTATCCTTACAGGAAAAGTGCGGTGAGAGAGAAANTAGAAGAGGATCAACGCTTCAGCACGCCCGTAGCTTGTGTAGGACCTTGTCGAAGGCTTTGGCGTACGAGATTTAACCTTCATCATAAGCCTTTGTTAAACTATCCATGAGGCCTTCGCCTGTTGGGTGTCCTGGTAATGGCGAGTTCCGTCTGTGGACCGACTCACCTGCGAGTGTAAAGCTTCTTCCGACAAATCAGACCTTGACCCCGTGCGGTACGTTCGAAATTTGATCCTAACTTGCTGTCGAATTTATCGGTATTCTATATCCCCCATTATTCTCAATTTGCCTTTTTGAAATTAGAAAAATTTATTGTTCATACTGAACTTTTAGACATTTTCTTTCATCAGCTTCCTCTGTCTCTAGACGAAGATAACGATGCGTCAAGACGAGACTACCCTGAGTTCGGAGGACTCTCCGACCGATCTGTTCGGTCTTATTCACGACCGAGGCCTGGAAATAAAAGACCTTAAAGCTAGGCTGAGTGTATTTGTTGACCAACTCCCCAACTTACAAGCTCTGCTCCTAACATCTGTATCAACAACCTGCGCTGCGAACACCGCTCTTTAGCTTTCGCAGCAAGAAACACTGGATGCCGCAAAGAAACTAAAGGATAGCGAACTATGTGCCAAGCGGGTTATATTTTGGCGGCGGTTCTCTGTGTCTGACACTCTGGAAAGTAAATGTAAGCATATATTTAGCCTTCTAGAACCGCATACGTACAAATCTGTTACCTGTACTTGACTAACCAGCAAAGGTTCACGAAGACGTTTGGGCATTTTTTCGAATTGGAGTCTTCCAAGCTCGCCAATGATATTCTCACCCAAGCTTCCATCTAAAAACTCTCCGGGTTAGGCCTAAGGGCGTGTCTCCATAGACAAACCCTTGCACGTGAGACTCTCACAGCTCAAGCTAAAAGGCCCAACACTGTTTACACCAGCAGTGCAAGATACAGGCTGCATTGTGAGAAATAGAGGCCGACATTTCTGTATCTAAGGTGTCTACAGATCACCAAGCGCTAGACCGGAGGATGTTCGAGCTCTACTAAATCTCATTGCCGCGGTCAGTAGGGGAAATCACTCGCCGATTATAGTGGGGGACTTCAATCTACTTGGCATAGAATGGGAGTATGAAGACGAGGGAGATGGGCAAGCAGAACGTGAATTCATGGACTGCTTCCATGCGGCATCACTCTACCAGCACGTGAAAGAACCGGCGCGTATCCGGCTAGGGCAGAGACCGTCCACCTTGGGTATGGTCGTCACGCGACAAGAGAGTGAGATCAG